TCACTTATCTAACCACATTTCCCAAACAAGACTTGCCCAAAACACATTTTTCTGTAACCCAGAAATTCAAACTTTAGCCTGTCACTTGAAAGAGCAAAGCACTAGGATAAGATAGATACATACACACACGTGCACACACATGCATGCACGTAATGCAGAACTCCAAAGATGACCTAGAGTTAAGGGAGGACAGAATTGATGGTGAAAGCTGGCCTTCAGAAAGCCACGTCTTTGATGTCAAAGACTGTACATTCCTCCAAGGAACGTTTCTTTCAGAGAATGACGTACTTGTTTAATTCACAGGCTAATAGCTTGCAGCTCTCAGTACAAAGCTTTAAATGGTAGCTGCATTAAGAACAACAACAGTTATCTAGAAAAAGCACCATTTTTTAATACCATGCAGTTAAAAAAAAAAAACAACACAAACACAAAAACAAAAAACTCAACCAAAACAGAAAAGATGAACTTAAATACTGTGACTGCCCTGGCTTCTATGTTAGAAAACTTGAGTTTCTCCGAAATACCGATCATCATTAAAGTATAAAATGATTTCCTTCCATTTACAAAACTATTGCTACTATCCACACACAAAAGAGGCTACTGAAAATTCATGTGATTTATTGAAGTCCAGCAATATGGACTGACAAGACAACAAACCTGACTACCATCTTGCTGCTACAGAAAGGACAGTCCTACTTCCCTCCTTCATCCCTGTGGCAGGTGCCTCCTTGGGGCAAGGTGGGATTTCTAAATCTACAACCAGCGCATTCGCCTGGCTTGAAACAATACTTAATAGGGTATAGAAGTAAGGTGGGAAGCAGCCTTCAGGCTGACTTAACCGGTTGTCAAACAGAGCCCCAAAGATGCTGCCTCACCACATGCAGCAAGGCTGACCGGACACCACTGCTGCCAAAGGAGACAATTCTGCCTCTTCCCAAAATTTCAAGCAAATCTGACTAAAAAATCAGGCTCCACAAATTAGGTTTCAGCTAACCCATGCAGGCACACAAACCTCACCACCATGCAAGGGAATGGCAGGATAGCTCCTTCTGGCAGCAGGACAACCTCATCTGCTTAAACCACTCGTGAAGCTAATATGAGGCTACACACAGAGTCCCTTCAGGAAACACAGAAGGAGCACCTATCATTTCAACAGTTCATCCAGTTCTCAGCCCCTACCTCATCGTAAGCATAAAACAAAACAGTGGCTAGAAATCAAGGTTTGAAGTTAAATAAAAGCATTCTTAACAGTAGGAACTGATTATTATGGGTCCTCTTCTCAGGGTTTGGAATGAAGGGCAGGGGGAGGGGACGCAAAGGAGATGGTATCCAAAAAACTGAAAAGGAGCCAGAAGTCCACTCTTACAGCCAGTATTAATTCACTTAACTGTTCCACTTACTGATATTGAAAGTGTTAGAGACTTTCACATCCCTGCACATCAGAATATTCATCCTTCAATTTTTAAGCTCTCATCTCCAGGAAATGTAACGCATACCAACTACAACCAGCTATCCCCAGAAAAACCGCACTGTAACTAGTGAGCACGATGGATCTCAAAGCAAGCAAGACCTGCACGAATGCTTTCTGCATGAAATAAGCAATCCACTCAAGTATAGTCTCTGATTCATTTGGGACTTAATGGTTCATGCAGCATGTTTCAGGAAGTCATCTTTGACAGACTGCTTGGAAATCCTAGTAAAAAAAAATCGGATTTGGCAAACAGGCTCTGCCTTACTAAAACACTTCTGATCACTCAGAGTGGCCTTATCCTGCCTGCTACTTTATCTATTTTCCACTGGCTTTCCGCGACAATAAAGCAGCAGTACACCTCACCTTAGGAGTGACAACTTGTAAGCACCAGACTTTAAGAGCCGCAAACACAGCCGAGGCTCTGTCATACCTCCCAATATTCACACTCTGCTCCTCTCCCCTCCTCCCACACCCACCATGACCACCTCTTCCTAGGTAAGCTCCAATCTCTACAATCTAGCAACTCGTTCTTTTTTTTTTTGGTCACTATCCAGCCAAAAATTGCAAAAAACTTTGATCTCTTTCTAGGAACAGGATCGGCCAGTACAGAAAAGAACTCTCCAGCCTTGTTCAAATTGGACAATACATTCTTTTAAGGTAAGCTAAGCCAGAAATCCTCTTGACCAAAAATACACGCTAACTTGTGACACACACACACACTTTCCACCATGTTAGGCATCTTGAGTTTAGCTGTGTTTCCAAAAAGGAAAGTAAAAATTCAAGCCATCAGACTTAAGAACAAAAACTATGTGTTTTGGCTAAATGTGTATTAAGACGAGTGAGGAAATGAAGCCTTTTCTTACCCTCTTATTTCAGCTTCAAATTAGATTTTAATTTTCTCCCAATATTTCTGCAAGAGATCCCCCTTCTTCCATTTTCTATACCAGCAAACAAAGGTGCTAAAACCAGCAGGGACAGGAGCCAAATCCACTCCCCTTCAAACATCACTGGAATTTTTTTAGTGCTGTGAAAACACAGATACTGCGAGGCTATGTCCAGTTTAAGAATCCAGGGGAAAAAACATTCTCTATGACTTTATTTTCCTGCTCTTCAGAAAAATCCCATGGGATGATATCATTCATCTCTTGTGCTGTGTTAGACCAGAATCAGACCACGCCCTTCACATTTAGATGTGATAATTCTGATCAACCTATTTAGGTAAGAAAGTACCTATGATTCACTAGTAAATACCATTGAAAAATTGGAAGGAAAAGGATATCCAGTGCAGAGGAAAGAAGAAAAAAAAAAAAGAACAAAACCCAAAAAAACCCCCACCAATAAAAAAAGCAAGTTTCAGTACGCACACAAGCAGCAATTCAAGTACTGAGAAAATTTTTATTTTCAATAGCTCCATGCATAGCATTATCACTGGATTCATTAACTGAATGCATTGCCTGGATCGATTCCGATCTCAAGCTGAGCTCGCATTAAACCTTCTCCCTTAAGGGGGCAATCATAAGTTCTCCTCCCTCAGCTGCATATTTTTATGAAATACTCAAGAATTCAATGTCTTCAGTATCTCCTTCTCTTTCAAGTTTGGATTAAATTAGCAAAACTGTGACAGTGAAGGGAGAGAAACATGTATTTTGGTTTCCTAGGAAACCAGACTCAAACAGAACTGCAAAACTCATTTCTTGATAAGATATATTTATTCAAAACATTACCCAACTTGAAGTTCATCTTAATAAAACAAAACCAAACCAAACCAAACCACACCAACAAAACCACAGAAAAAACATACACCTAATTGTTTTCCCCAAAGGCAAGCCACTGAACTGATCCTACGCTATGCTCCGCTTCCCATCTCCCCTCACTGCAAGCCAATACAGTAAGTACTGCTCCAATACCAGCCCGTCTCTCTTCTCTCCTTTAAAAAAAAAAATGGATTTTTAAAAAAGCTCATCTCAATTTCCAAATCCAAAGTAGTCTGAATGTTGCCAAACCTATGTTTCACAAGTCCCACTAGCAAGAACCCACCATATCATGCAGAAGTTACTGAGCAAACATGCACACATCTGAACTACACAAACAACAAAATATTGTAATTTCTACAGAAGATTAACAGAAGAAAAAGCCCAGAAGAAAGCTCTGATACAGCTCAATATGAGCTGGAAAATTAATCTAGAGATCTTCAAGTCTTTTCTATGCTAAATAATCTTGTTCTATGTAGTTTTTACCTTGATTATTTTCCTTAGGTACTTGTTATGTATCAAATGAACCCACATTCCTCTCTGCTAACTATCATAAAATAAAGGAAACAGGCCTAGATTAGAGAAGTCAAAATCAAGTTACATAAGGGTCCAAAAATAAATATCTAAGAGACACTTATTGAAGGCAATCTGTACAGAAAAGTGAAGTTCTGCTCTTCATTTAAGACATTTTGAAGAATTTGGGAAGAACTAAGACATGTTTTTTGTTACCTTAAAAAAATTCAGATGCATAACCTTTACAATACTAACTGGAATTATCATAACTGATATATTAATGAAATTACGATGTATTAAACATGAAATTATTAATTTCACAGTGGTTGGAAAGTATCTTAGCTTCTTTTATTACTATTTTTTTATTTTTATTTTTAAAATCAAGTGTAAATTACTGTTAGTGTTTTAAAAAAAGCTTCTCTGTCATGGGAGACTTAGAGCAGTAACCCCTAAATTTAAGGGTCACAAAGTACCAGACATGCAGAAGGGAGAAAGTAAAAGTTAGCATATGCTTTTCATCAAAATGCGAGAGCCTCAAAAGTCCTGAGGCAAAAGCAGTCTTGTCATTTGCTTTTTTTGTCTTTGGAAGGAACAAAATCAAAAAGCTTAAAAGCATAATTTGACATAATTTAAAAAAAAAAAGTAAAAAAAAAAAAGTAGTTCTTTATCTTTCAGAATCATTTATAAAAACCAGACTAAGAATTGAATGCATATAGCATTTATCAGTTATCTACAGCTTTCTTTTATGAACTCTGATGTTATAGCTTCAAAAGAGCATCCAGAGGCAAGATGACAAGTGAAAGCAAGAAAAGTGCAAAGTTTCTAGAGCAAAAGACTCAAAAAAGAGGTTCTACGTAGTTCTGAAGGACAGATTGTTGGTATTTTTCCAGAGAGCTATAGGCAAGTTTCTCTGGCCATCAGGTTTTCCTGAAAACTAGCCTGCATGCTTATGTGACACAAGCGAGGACTGGTAATTTGTACTATTTCGTGTACGAACAGTAGAGTCATGACAGCACTGACTAGCCTTCAGCTAGACTTTTCCTACTGTTTTGATCACATTCAGATACCAAATTAATTCATTTCTGTGCAAAAAACTTATTTTTGCCCATAAAACTGAAGTAACTTAAGACAGACAGAGAAGGCATAGCATGTTCTACAAATTGCAAATTACATCTTTGAAGACTGGAGTTAAGACATATCAAGTTTAATTTCAGTTGTCATTTCCATGTCTTTTCCCACAAGAACTGGGGAAGAGTTAGCCCAGTTTCTCTGCGGGGTAAAAGAAAAAAAGGAAAAAAACCCCTAATATTAGGAGGTTGCAATCCCTTACAGGAAAGGTTAGTCTTAACAGGTGAGAAGCTTTAAAAATTAAGCCAAGGACAAAATTGTTTTCTGGATAGCTAGTGAGGACAGTGAAACTCTGCATACTACTTTAACCTATCTCAAACACAAAAGACTCACAGACTGTAGCGCAAGCACCTTCAAATAAAAGTTACCAGTCATGGGTTGTCAGACGGTCCCTATTAACTAATCCTTATGATCTCAAGAGGTACTAAGAGAATAGTTAATACTGTAGAAAGATGGTTAGTACGGTTAAAAGGAACTTGTACTGTAAATTACTACTAACAGTGATTTATCTTCTGAAGGCCGGTTCTGGAGGAATGCATTCAGGTATGCTTAGAGTAAGAACTCCTGCTTTGAATACTTGGAAAGTGTACTTCCTCCAATGCATCTCTCTAATATTTTTATGCTGATCACTAAAAAACAAGACTCAAATTAAAGATTTTTCACCCCTTTCACCAGAGGATTCTTGATTCTACAGCAAAATAAAGAAGCCTGACAGATGCAACCAAAACTAGAAGAGGCAAAATGAAATACAACGCCTTTGCTGCAGAACAAAAAAAACCTTTGTCTAATCACATGATTGACAAGATAAAGATGGAAGAAGCCCATGAACCTTCCTGGTGAACCAGATGAGCAGAAAAAAAAACATTTATTAGAAAAATAGCAAAACGTCATTTTGACACACAGAAAGAAAAGCTAATAGGTAGTCAGAGTTTAGATGTGTTCTCTTCATGCAGTGCACCTAACATAAACATTAGATTTGGCTGCTATGTTTTCAAATATGTTTACTCAGCAAGAAAAATCATCTAAATTATTTAGCCAATGCAAAAGAAGACTCAAAGTCTTTTATAAAAAGCAATCATATGGGACAGACAATATTTCAAAAATAGCTGGACTTCAATTACAGCATTTTACCAGTATAGCCAGAATACTACAGCATTTATGAGGGGAACTTGAGATGAAGAATAAATTCTCAATCTAACTGTAACAACTATAAGCTGTTTTGCCCTCACTTGAGGCATTTTGATTAAAAAAAAAAGCTGCACAAATTTTGCTCCAAAAACTGCTGAATCTTAAGAATATACGTTAGTAGTAAAAAACATGCAAGTCACTAGAAGGTTTTAGAATTAGCTTTTATGAGCAAGCCACACAGCAGTCTCAGCATCTCGTTGAGCAGCAAAATATAGATGTAAGTAATGCTGATGTTACAAACCCTGGGATCTTAAAAAAAACAAAAAAGAAAAAAAAAAACAAAACAAAAACCACCAAACTTTCACGCCACCCAAAACCAGGGTCAACGGTTATTCTTCAATGCCTAACCTAATTCCTCAAGTCATCCCAGTGCATCTTTTGTTTTGTGCATCTTTAGACCTTGCTCCTATAAGCAAGAACTGTCTTCGCTGCACACCTTGCACACCACAGCACGGAGCACGCTGTCAGTGCTTCAATACAGAAAAATAAGAACACATTGGCATTTTCTTATAAAAAGTTGCAGGATACAAACCTCCAGGAAGATATGATTCGCTTGCTGTGTCATCACCATCATCTCCATCTTCATCATCACGACTCAACAAATTATTTACAGCAAGGTTTACATCAAGATTTGTTCGCTGGAGTTCCCGAATAATAATGCTTCTGGACTTTCCTTGTAAAACAACTTGTGCCTGTAAGAGCAGAGTATAATTGCTTACTGGTCATTCTCAGCTCACCAAACACCATTCATAAGAAAAGAATGCATAATTCTAAAAGAAGTCTAATAAAAACCAAAAGACAATCACAGTACATACAGACAAAGACTCACATAGATTTTTCACAGTATTTTGTACTAGATAGTCAACCTTCTCTCAGTTTAAGCTAGGCCACTGAATTCCAACTTTGGTGCTGAATTTCCTAATGGAATCTTAGAATCTACTTCTTGAAATACTTAATGCTGTAGTTAAAGGATAAGCAAAATTTGTTTTTGAGAATGTTCTATATGTTTTTATAAAAGTGTTTAAACTTACTATGTCAATCAATTGTTTGACTGACAGTTTGCAATGTTGACTGAGTTTTGCAATCAACTGTTGTTCCAAAACTACACCTCAATCCCTATCTTTTTGACACTGGTTTCTCTCTCCACTGCCCTTCAATATGTAACCACCTTACTTCCTCTGTTTTTCTCATCATTCTGTTTCTAAACGCTTATACTCAGCAGTTTCTGCAACATTTAGATTTTTATTAGCAAAAGTGCAAATGCAGAAAAAAACCTTCCGAATGTTAAACAGATGCAATGAATTTACAAAAACCAGAAGCATTCTGGTCTATTCCACTAAACCTATGACTCAGAGCATTTTGTTTCTCCAGACAGACTACCCTCACAAACTGTGTGAAGAAGGTAAGAAACCAGTACTGAATGTTTTCATAACACAGTAAAAATGAGGCACCAAATAAAATGGTCTGTTGGCAAGCAAAAAAAAAAAAAAAGGGACCTTTTAACAGCACACAAAGGTAAACTTTTAATCATAACATTTTACGCCAGAAGTTTACAGATTTTTGAGACACAGTAGAATCTATGTTATATAGTCCAGTTGTGAAGATGTTTCCCATTGGTCTCCTTTAAAGTTACCCTAAAAATATTTTAGACACCTTCTGTTTTAAAGGTAGACAAAGTATGCTATTTTTAAAAAAAAAAAGCAAAAGATCACAGCAAGGGAAGCAAAGTTACGACTTAACCAACAAACCACATATTAGATTATAGAATGGAACTGTCTGGACCAAGGAATTATTAGTCTGTTTTTCTATTTCATGTAAGGTATCAAGGATGTCAGCAAACACTCTCAAAAAAACCCCACCACTCCACAGTTGAAAGAGACCGCTGGGGGTCATCTAACCAAACCACCTCCTGAATGCAGGGCTAACTTCAGAGTAACCAACACTTCTGGTATCTTGCCTCTGTGAAGGCAGAAGGTCCCAGCTTTTACTGGGTTTTGAATTGAAAAAGAGAAAGGAATTGGAAGCCAGTTTGTCACCGGTGGGTCTGTAGATACCTTGCCTGCTAGCTCCTATCTTGTGCCAGTCATGCTATAGGCCATTCAAAGCATGCAAGCAGATGATTTTTGGCCTAGCAACTAACACCTGTATTCCAAATGTAGACCAGCAACTCGTTTTGAACTAAGAATTAAAATGCATTAACTATTCATATATTTCGAATGTATTATTTTCTTCAAACATAGAGAAAAATGTTGTTTTAACAAACTCCACTTAATCACACAATGCAAAGTCCATCAGCTTATTCAGGCTTTAGTGCATTAAGAGGCAAAAGCAGAGCAATTTATACCCAACATTCATCAGTTACATTTATAAAAAATTAAGTAGAGGTGTCCATGAAGAAAAATTATTAGTACTTTGAAGAGATTAAGTATGTTTAATGTCTTTCATTTAAATCTAAAATGGATCACTCCTTTTATCAAACAAGAAAAAAAAAGTAAACCTGCCCCCGTTCCTTATACTCCTTCAAGAAACTTAACTTTATTAGCTACATGCTTGATACAATTCTCAAATATTTGATTTTCTCAGTATATCTTCCATCTGCATGACATTCCTCATCTAGATCAAACACATACCTTGCCTTAGTGCAAGTTTGGAAAATGAAAATTCTAGAATCCAAAAAAAGTGTATCACTCACACTGCAAATTTAAGAATAAAAGCAATTCAGCTAGAGAAAGTCAATCTTTTCAATTATATGCCATTACTCCTTGGAGAAAATGCACTATTACAACACATTCCTGTTCACATGCTACAAGAAGCTCTCCAGGTTTTTGGCAACAAGCAGTTTCTAGCTCACGTACCTGTGAAATGAGTTCCTCTGGAATGACTGATGCTGGAATCACTGGTTGTGGTTGACTCCCCAGCAGTCCAGATCCTCTATCACGTCCTGTGCGTATAACTCTGGTCTGCCTTCGAGAATCTCGAGCTCCAGCAGATGATCTACCAGAAGATCCTCCTCCACTTCCACCAACCCCTGAACTCCAGCGACTTCTAGAAGATTTAGATTACAATTTTTTTTTTTTAATATAGCAGCATAGTTTGGGGACTACTTCAAGAAGTCAGTCTTTAGTTTTATTATTAATAACTTATAGACAGTCTCTGAAAAATACTGCAGATTGACTTCATAGACAAACACTATGAAAGTATCTCTCAAAACTAGTAAGAACAAGAACACCAGGCAATTCATAAACTTCTGAATTACACAGAAGAAATATAAAAGAGGACTCCAACTGGAAGTTGCTCGCTTTCCTACTCGTGTAGTTGTGTGGATGTATACATACATAAATACATGCACGCACCAATTCCCAAAGTTTCTAAAAGCAACAGTACTAGCAGCATAACATCTAACGCTCAAGTGTTAACTTCCTATATAAAAGCACATATGCAGCAGCTTCATGGTCAGTACACTCTGTTTGACAGAAGGTCACTATACTCAGATGGGTCTTCTAAAATTTCTGAGACTTGATTTACATTAAGAAATTGCTTAAGATTACACTGGAAAAATCAAGTAATCTAATGCAAAACAAATCTTACACTAGACAATTCTCTGATCCTTATGGATGGTTTTCAAGAGATAACTCTACTCTGGACCTATTCCTATTGGAGGAATCAACATCAACTGTATACATTGCAAAAACATGCCTAAACTGACTGAACAGTTTTTTCATTTTTCTATGAGTCAGTATCAAAACAAGGGAGTAAAAAGGCAGTGATTTGTAGAAAGACAACTCACCATCATTACAACTATCCACCAATCTTAACACCACAGAACTGCATCAACTGAATCTGTTCTGGATGTAAGACTAGATACTCTGTTTTCATGAAAGGCTAAAAGACTCTAGTTTGTTCTTCAAGGTTAACTAAACTTTGTTGTACAAATCTACCTTAAAGGATATTGGATATGGTATTACTGCTATTTAGTAATCAGTATCAGCAGAACCTTCCTGCTCTCAACCACCCTAATCTTCAATCTCCTTTCAAGAAAAAGAAAAACATTTAAAATGAGACAAGAAAAAAAGCTATGTTCTCTGAAATAGTACCTAATAAATTCACATTAAAAGTATACCACATGTAGCTATAAAACTAATTAAGTAAGAATACTTGTCTTACATTTTATGGCTTGAGTTGATTACTAATATCCTTCTCTCTTTTTGTTGCTGGTTTTTTTTTTTTTCCCCTCCTGACAAAACTGTGCAATCACAGAATAACTCAAGTATCTGCCTAAGATGAGGCCCAGTCACAGAGACATCTACATTTTCAGGATTCTAGCCAGCAACCACACAGACAATGACAAAACAAAAAGCAATTCAACAATGGCTTTAGGAAAAGTCTTGTCTCATGAGTTAGAAAAAGAACTCTTAAAAAAAAAAAAAAAAAAAGATACTACTGAAAATGGAAAAAACCCAAAACTAAACCCAAACCAAAGAAGAATGTGACATTTTAAATAAAACATGCCAGTTAATCTGTTTCTAAAGGTAGGGCACTGAGGGGAGAAGAAGGGGGCCGAAGAGAAGTCAAATTCTTCCTACACAACAATTCTCAATTCAACTCTCAGCAGGGAAGATGTGGGTTTAAAGAAAAGGTTACGTATTAGATTTTAATACTTATTACAGATGCATTTTCTAATTTAAGTTACAAACTATCAATGACAGACTTAAGACATCTAACAGTTGAAGCCATTTATATTCATATAATAATTCAAATATTCCAAGTGTGTTCTAACTTCGTCCTGTTATAGAGAAAAAAAAAAGATCATAAGGACACAGCTATTCCTATTAAAGCTGTCTAAACCTAGAATAAATATTAATATAGAATGGAAATCTTTCTGCTCATTTCTGCTCACCTACTAGTTTTCCACATCTCTCCACTGCCCACTAGCATGCTAGCAATTTTCCAAATCCAGTGATCTAATCTAAGGGCTCCACAGTTTGAACGTTTTTAGACTCAGTTTATTAAGTTAAGTATTCTCTTCATTTAATAGAGCAGTTATAGTGTCTGCTGCTACTCTACTAGTTCAGTGACTTTCAACTACCTAGTTCTGAAACATGCAAGGGAAGAAATTAGGAACTCTTCAGGGTTGGTCTCCTAAGCCCATAGATTCAAACAATTTTAACCGGTTATGCTCAGGTAAAAATAACAAGGAAAAAAACATCCTACATTTTCCACAGTAACATGACAATACACATTTGCCTTTAAAGTTTAACACACAGATTTTAGGTTCAGATGCACAAAGGTTTCACAAAAAGGGGGGGG